AGCTGTGTGGAGCTGTGCAGCAGGATCCTACCTCAGCAAGAAGCTCAGATGTGGACTTGGAACACATTTTAAAGTTCTTCACTGTGTCTGTTTCTCCAACACTTTCTGCTTTCTGAGGATGGTCACTAGAGAACTTTTGATAATTAAAGGACATAATTTTTAGAGTAGTTTGTTTAATATATTTCTTAAGGGTCAATAAGGTCGCTCAGGGGGTAGAGATGTTTATTGCACCTGACAACCTGAATTGAATCTCTCAGTCCCTGGGACTCACATGGTAGAGGAAAGAATCAATTCCTGGAGTTGTCCTTTGACATCCATGCATGCATGGTGGAACTTGTGTCGACACATGTGCACACATACATGTACATGCACATACTCTTGCAAATAAAGAGATATAAATGTTTTTAAACAGAGAACATTGATTATATATCTCAATTTTGATTATAATTGTATGAAGCATTGCATCTTACATTTTTTGTAAAATTCTATAAAAGTTATTTCTCTCTCTCTCTCTCTCTCTCTATATATATATATATATATATATATATCATGATTATGCAGTGTTTTTTCGATAACTAGCTACAACAAAATATATTTAGACATGTTTTTCATATCCATTGTGTGGTTTCCATTTTTCCTCTATTTAAATAAAGCCACATTGACTATTTTTGTATTTCTTTTTGGAGGTTGGGTGGGTATAGTGTGTGCATGTGTGTGTGTGTGTGTGTGTGTGTGTGTGTGTGTGTGTGTGTGTATGTCTGTGTCTATGCACTGTCTACCTTATCTTTTGAGACAGGGTTATTGAGACTGTTAATCAGTTGGTTCAAGTGGCTGGCCAACCAGCTCTGGAGGATGTACCTACCTCTGTCCCCATAATAGAACTGCAGACATGCACAACCTGTGGCTGGCTCTTTTATGTGGGTGCTGGGAACCCTAACCCAGAACCTCATGCTTGTACAGGAAGTACTTTGCTAACTGACCCATCCCCTAGGCCGTGTCTCTGTAGTTCTTTGTTGGTAGTATAAAAGGATAACTTGAGGTCATATTAAACCATAGGTTTCTCTGGATATACAGCTATGCACCACTGCCATCTTCTTTCAGCCCTGTTTTTCACATCTGCTTGGGATATTTATTGTGGTCTAGATGCTACCCTTTTCTTCTCTTCGGACAGCTTGATCTAGTGAGCTTCTAAATGAGACTTCCAAGCCATCTTGGTGACCCTAGGGGGACAAAAACAATCAAAAGATCAGAAGAGTGGGGTGTGTGGCACTGTGTGCATTTTCAAAGCAGCTGGGGCTATTTCAACTTCTCTTTAAAACCGAAACTCTTCCTATCAATTGGTTGAGGCACCCGCCAAGGAGAAGGCACTTTGAAAAGTGGCATGCCAGGCATCTTCCTCATTCACGTGGGCATAGTGGAAAGTCTTTTGTAGCCAGTCCCACATCTTGTCTCCAGCTTTCTGGTCCTTTGCATTTCATGGGTAAAAATGGAGCTGCAGATGGTCTCAGTGGTGACTACACAGAATGAACTCCTCATCCTGCTGCACAGTCACGGAGCTACTGAAATACAACAGCACACATCATAGCCAAGTTGTCAGAGGGGCTGTTTCACAGCTATGACCTCACAGCCATAAAACACAAGGCATGTAATGTGTAAGGAAATCCAAGACAGCTTTTCCAGATTTGTTTTATTAGTAAGATTACCATATGGAAAATAACGTTAAGTTATCATAAACATTCTCTTAAGGGGACTGTTAAGGACTCATATAGATATTTTTATTTTCGTGGGCTTAAATTTCTTATTTGTTGCTTACAGAAGCACGAAGTTATGTTATCCATTATCTCTACACCACACAGCCAGCCCCAAGTGTTCAGAAAAGGCTTAGTTAGGCCTTTTCATGTTTTTGAGGTTCAAGGTTCTGGCTGGCTTGTTTATCCGAATTAGTAAATGGGTCACAGCAGCAGGTGGGTCCAAATGTGCTAACTGGCCTATAACAGAGCTTTGCCTTTGCTGGCACCTGTCAAAACCAGTCTCGGCTGGCTGTAACAAAATTGCCCTTTGACCAGTCCCCACACAGGACTCACATAAGCTCAGACAATCATCAGGGATTTTGATGGCAGTCTGTTCTTCAAGTGTCCAAGGCTGCTTAGAAACTTTCCGTCATCACCACCCCCCACCTTTTTTTTAACACCTGTGAGTTTTCTACAGAGCAAATTTGACAACCTTTGTCTTCTCTGCATCTTGGTTTGATTCCTGATTAAGAAGGCTGTGCCAGAACCATGGTAATTGGTTCAACACTCCCTCTAGTTATTGTTGGTCCCCAACTGCTCCTGGTACCCCCGTCAGGTGCTCTTTCTCCTTTGGAAAAGCACAAGCCAGCTTAGGTGACCAATAGGGAATAGGAACAAAGGTCAACAACATCGGAAATCACTGACCGAGTGCCAAAGAGTCAATGGGATGGTTGTTTACGTCTATGGTGTTGTAAGTTAAGCATTTGGTGACATGCTGTCCCTCAGGTGGACTCTCCCAAATCCAAAGCTTGTGAAATCCATGCTTTGGTGAAGATTACTTATCCTTCTCTCAATAGTCCATTATGATTGAAAGTTTAAACTTTGGGGAATGGGGCCTACAGGAGGAGCTGAGTCACTGGGGACATGCGCTTGCAGGGACTGTGAGACCCGGTCTGTCTGCTTTAGCTGGTCCATGCAAACTGTACTCTCTGCAGGCACCTCCACCCTGACGACAAGGGCTAAGAGAGTGCCTTCTGAACTGAACCCAACTGGCACTGGCCATGCCCCAGAGTCTCCCAAACCGTAAGCCTGGTAATGCCCCCCCCCACACTTTTTAAAGTTAGCTGTCTTTGGCACTGCAATGTAGTGCAAAGCTGGCACCCACACCATGATGTCCACGCATGCCAAAGGTTCCTGCCATGTCAGAGTCACACTTGCCCCAGTTCCTGGTGTCCACTGCCTGTTGCTCTCTCCTCTGTCTCAAGGCTGTTGTTTTTTGTTCATCTTCAGGATGTAAAATAGTCTTTCTCCATGATTCCTTCCAGTGAGGAGCTTGTGTATATCACACTTTACTGCATTAGGGGTACCAACCGGCATGAATACTGCAGTGACAGCTAGACTGTCTAGTGTTTTAAAGTCCTCTGGTCATTTTTCATGTTTCTTGGTTTTTCTCTCCTCTTCCCACCATCACTACCAACTTCTTCCACTCTTCCATGCAGAGCTTAAGCCCCCCTCCAGTTCTCCAAACAGCACTGGGTTAGATGGGCTTCTCCAGGCCTTCCGGGTTTCAATGGAGCTTTTTTCTAGAACTATTCTCTCTTGTAAATCTGTGTCTTCTCTGGAGAAAGGAGAGAGTGTCCGTTGCAGATGGTCTCGTCTGAGTCTGAAATCTGGCCCTTAATTTCCCAGAAGTCAACACCCAACACCCCAGATTTTGTTTTGCTTTTTAGAATTCTTGTTTCTTCTCCTCATTCAAGTTGCTCTTCTGCTAGTTCAGTCCCTTATAGAAAACAGTTCCTTAAACACTGGGCCAAGAGCCCGTCTCACATTAGTTGACCCGCATGTCTTAGGTAGATATATTTAAGACTGAGACGGATGCACTGGTGTGAAGTAAATCATGGTTCAGCCACTCTGTTGGGATCTCATCAGCTCAGCACTAAGGTGATTGATGAAGTGGACAGGAAAATGAGCATTTCTGCTATCCAGCAATATAATGTCTAAAAATAAATCACATTTTAATGGATGGGGGAGCACAATTCAATAAGGTTAACATATGATGCAGCAAACTCTTGCATGTTATTATGAGCTATTGCTAGCAAAAATGATCTATTGACCTGCTGTCACCACCCAAATGGAAAAGAACAAAGACAAGCTCTGTGGACTGTGGCTGGAGTCTGGGGAAGAGGAAAAGAGGAGGAAGCTGAAATGGTGGAGAAGTCCCATGTTAGAGAAAGCTGGTAGTGCTGTTCAGCATCCCTTTGATTCTGGCTGACATCAGCTGGGCGTTTGCTCCAGGCTGCATGTGTACCTTGAGTTCATTTAACCTCAAAGAAACCCAAGGATAGACTCATTTCTCCACCACCAAGGCATGGACAGGTTTGTAACAGGTGCGAGGTCAGCCCGTGGGGTCAGCCTCCAGAGCTGCACCCTTGACCTTTGTATCATATCATTTCTCAGGAAGGCCTGCAGGGGATTTTCTCTCTTGACAGAAATACATGTAAGTATCCCATTGGATGTAGCCAAAAGCATTTTATATTAGCAACAAAGTATCATTTTGTCTACAGATATAGATATGCTGTGAGGGTGAAGAACCAGTCATTGTTATTGGTGTTTGTATGGCTGCCAGTGCATACATGTAAGGTGCTAAGAATGCTTATGGCTTTACCTTGACATCCACTGCCTTCTTGTGAGACAAGAAAAGGAGGATTCCTAGCCCATGTCATGGATGATGAAATGACCACGGGTGCCCAATACACTCCATGGATAATGAAATGACCCTGGTGCTCAACCTACTTCATGGATGATAGCATGACCCTTGTGCTCAACCCACCTCATGGATGATGAAATGACCCTGGAGTTTGTTAGATAAAATGCAGTTAGCCAGAGCACTAGAAATAACCTGTCCCACAAGCAGGCTCACCGTAGCCTGGTCCTCTGTGCCCAGAGCGTGTGATATGAACTTTCTCCTGGGTGGGTGGAAAAGCTAGGTCACTAATTTCTTACTCCAGACCATTAAACATGACCAAGTTCTGGGGGATGTGCCAATATGGGACAGGATACTCAGAGGAGAAGGTGGCACCTTTGAAACAACTACCAAATAAATGCCTGAAAAAGTCCACATCAAATGGAAGCCCCGAAGTTATCATTTACCTTAGAGGGCATGAAATCTCAATATCCAGTGAGCAATGGCAGAGCTTTCTCTCCTTTGCAGAGTACCTTCAAGAATTCCATCTCATTTCATAGTTGAAAAGGGCTGTGTTCTGTCAGGAAGATGATAGCATGCGCGAAAGACAAGAACCGAACAGGGCTAAAATGAAACAGATAATGTTCACAAATGGCAAGTTCATTGATAAATCCCAATAAGATGTCATACATAAGCCAGTGGGTCAGAAATAGACATTAAAATCATAAGCCAAGAGAGTCAGATAAGCCACTAAGATTCCTCAATGTGCTGTGTGGGTAAATAAATCCAAACATGAATATACTGAGTGCCCATTGGCTATCCATATGAATTTCATGTTTGACAAATATTTTTGAATTTTCAAAGTCATCTAGAGAATATTTATTGGCAATCCCCATTGTGTAAGATGATTCTAGTACTTGGGACAGAACCTCTTCTTTGAACTCCTGGTCTCAAGACAGCTACACACAGGATGGCCACAGCTGGGTAAGCACATGCAAGGAGGTGGTAACCAAGGCTATTAGAGGAGTTCAGGAGTCTCCTTCAGAGGCTGACCCATGCACTTGACCTCAAGGAAAAGCCAGGAAAAGATGTGTGTAAAGGACTGCCCCTGGCCCTTCCCTTCTACACAGGCCAGTGTTCAAGCACACCTTAATATCCATTGAAAGAATGGACCAGGCTCTCCATCAACACCTGCATGCACTACAAGTGTGGGAAAGGACCCTGTTGCTATGAATTAGGCCTAGAATTCCCCTCCTTTCTCTGGACCTTGGATCATTGTCTTCATTCTCCCCTTGATGCTCTTCTCTGCTCCTGTCCCTCTTATGATGGGTCTTAGACCTTCCCCCGCTCCTCCTTACAAGTCACAGGGAGCCACGAGTGACCAGGTCTTGGATCCCACAGCATAGCTTTTGTTCTTCCTCCTTTTTCCCATGGAGTGGTTTGACATCTGTTCACTATGTTTTCTCTTGCTGTAACAGAACACCACAGAGTGGGTAATCGAGAAACAATAGAAATGTGTTCAGCTCACAGTTCTGAAGATTAGATCAGGAGTGTGGTGTGAGCACCTGCAAAGGACCTTTATGCTACATCTAAGATGGAAAAAGGGAAAGTGAGCATGGTCAAGACAGAGGGCACAGGCTGACCTTATCCTTTTTTCAAGGGCCCCTCCCACAGCCAACTGAAGGCCTTCATCTATTTGTGAAGGCAGAACTGTAATCACATCCCAAAGGTTCTGCCTATCAGCACAGTTTTAATGGCAAGTCAATTTCAACACAAATTTTGGAAGAGCAGCAGGGGTGCAGACTCTGAGCACACACTCCCATGCAAGACTGCTTCAGAAGACCGTAAAGAGCACAAGGTAGGTCAGGCTTTTATTCATATCTATTTCCCTACACTCTAGCTCAGAACAAATACCTGACAGATGTCATGGGAAGTATAACTTAATATAGACCCCGGCAGTCTTTGCGTAGTGACTGGGAAGGTGTCTCCTTGGCTTATAAACAAGATGCCATATTTTGGTCCTTGAGCAAATTTGAAAGTCAAGTTAATTTGGTTAAAGTATCTGCCTGTGGAACTTTTACTCCTCTGCTCTTTGGTTTTCTGGAAGGCAGTGAGTTTTATAGACATAGCAAGACTTTGAGGAGTCACTTAGCCCAAATCTGTGCCAGGTACCTGAGACTTTACCTTATAGGGAATTGTAAGACCTGTGTGCCACATTAGGCCAGGGGGCTTCCTGTCCAACTCTACCTGTCTCTGTAATCTTCCTTCCTTGCAAATGCTTCCTGCTGTGAGGGTGCAGGCTTTCTCTCCAAGCTAACAAAACAGCCGCCATCTGCATGAGAGTATTACATACTTAAAGTGTGAGGTCCAAGTTGGAATGAGCTATGAGGGTAAATAAACAATGTTTCCAAGATTTGGTATATACAACGAGTATAATATAGCTTGTTAACCTGACATATGGAGAAAGCAAAAACATTAAAATTCACATTACCTATTCTTATATTTTATTGTAAATATTAGAAAATTCTGTATGACACATTTTATTGGAACAATGTTGCTCAAAAATAAAATTATTTTCCAAATCATGATTTCATTTAAATTTAGAGAAAAAGAAAGGCTCTAAGTTAGAAAGCTGCATGGAGTGTGCCAGTATAGAAGGGAGCTTCCTGCTGCTACATGTGGCCAACGCAGTGGATGCACAGATTTAAAAATCGATGATCACCTCTAGAGAGGGGACAATGGCCCTCCCCATTATACACATCGACTTGGGAACATACAGAAATGACAAGTCACTGCCTTTATGGCACGGCAGAGCTGGCAGTCAACCCTTGTCATTTGGCTCCAGGTGACAAGTCCTTAATTTCTTATTTTGTTATGAGTAGCACCCACCATTGCGTGGCTTTCAAAGTGTGGCTAGTAATGGAGATTCTCATTTCAAAGGAACATTTGTCTTGTGGGACATCTTTCTGGCTGACTTTGAAGTCTCTTAGTTCACCAGTGAGAAAACACCCATGTGCACCATTAATACAGCATGAATGCCAGAGCCAGTGAAGATGGCTGCCCAAAGCATTGTCTTGGGGACTTTCTGAACTTACTTTGTAATGACTCTGGTGGGAAGTGTGAGTAACTGGGAATGCAGAGTGATAAGCCTTCCCACCCAGCAAACCACAGCTATGCAGACACAGAGAGGAGAGAAGGAATATCTGTCCAATCAGGTTGTGGGAAAGCTTTGACAATATAAGTAGGCACTGAGCAAGGGGACTGGAATGCATTAAGTGCTTGATAAACACCTGCTCCTTCCTTTCTGCCTTCCTCATTAAAACCTAAAGTTGAAGGTTTCTATTAACCTCTTAAAAACACTGTTTGACCATTCAGACAGTCCACATGATAGGAGTTCAGTGCAATGCCCTCACACTGACTTTTGAGACCTTCTAGAACTTTCCTCAAATACATCCATTCTGTGAAAGGTGCCATCGTGTTCATGGTTACACACACACACACACACACACACACACACACACACACACACACACAGTGGGGGGGAGAGGAGGGAAAGAAAAGAAAAAGAAAAAACAAACAAACAAAATTTATGATTTTTTTCTCTCCCATTTCCTGTCTACTATTTTTTTTTTCATTTAGCAAATTAAGACATCTTAGGCATACATGGCTTTCACTTATAAACCATTTGTGGCATATTACCACCAGATAAAATCTTTTAAAAAATCTGCACAATGTCATTATCTTACTTAGAAAATGAATAATAATTTTGTAGGATCTAGTACCCATTTTCCAGTTTCCCTCCCCATAGTCTCAGAAGATTTTCTAGAGTTGGCTTCCTTGGACCATGTTCTATGGTGATACTTTATTTGTGCTGAAATGTGATATTTTATTTTTATGTTAATAAATAAAGTTTGTCTGGAGATCAGAGGTCAGCGAGCCAAAAACAGAAATCAGGCAGTGGTAACCCATGCCCTTAATTCGATCACACAGCAGGCAGAGTCTATGTGTGGTCAAGGACACAGCCAAGCGTGGTGACACCAGCCTTTAATCCCAGTACCAACCATAGAGACCTGGAGGTCTGTATAGACAGGCAGTGATAAAGAAGTCATGTGGCTGGGCTTAGAGCCAAGGAGAAAGCAGAACAGGAAGGCAATAAAAGCACAGGTCAGACAGGAAGAATCCCTCTCTGTGGAAGCTACTGCTGGTGGTAAGCTAAGGCTAGTCATGGCTATTCACTCTGATCTCTTCAGCTATTACCTCTGTATTTGGCTCTGTGTTTCTTATTTAATAAAACTGTTCAGAATTTTGTCTACATTTGGTGCCCCATGATGGGCGCCAGAGGTGGCACGAATTGTTAGAAGGTCTTATTAATAAAAACAAACCAGGTATTGGGGTGAATGCTGGAAGATCAGAGAAAACAGAACAAGCCACAGCCACCTCACCTTGCCAGTTCCTCATCTATGTTCTGTGTTTTAAATTCCATGTTTTGATGTCCCCTCTATCCTGCTGTCTCTCGCTCTTTTCCTATGTCCTTTTCTGCTCTAGAAAAACACTTAGAATACCTTTCAAAGATATATACAGGCTGGTGAAACAAATTAAAAGTGAGAAAATATGGCAAAGTGTAGCTTCAAGAAGAGACCATTGGAGCAAAGATTGGCAAGAGCGGCAAAAATCCTACGACAAAGCAATGTGTATCTTAATGCCCTGCTCCTTGCAGCAACTGCTAGCTGGTCTTAGGTAGAGCAGCTTGCCCTCATCCCAGCAGAGTAGCTGGACAAGCCCTGCCAAGCCAACCTCCTTACACTTTCCATGACTGCTTCCTCCATCACAGATCTGCAGTCTCCCTGTCAACCTCCAATGTTCAACAGCAAGCTCGCTGGCTCATGCCTTATTCTATGGTATCACACCAAGAGAGCCAGATACACTTGAGTCCCAAAGCCTCCAAAATACACAGGGAATGAGATTTCAGAGAAGCTCTTGCATTTTATGACTAGGAGATCACTGAATGATCTCGAAGAGTGGTCCATGCCTCTTTCCTTTTTTTGCACCTCACTTCTGCCTGCTCACCAAAGCCTACATCTCCTCTATTTTCCAAATATTTTCTGCTATGATGTATTAACAAGTATCTGAAAAGATCATCTTAAAGGATCAAAATAAGAGGGGAAATTGTTATTTAATTTTTTTCAGCGTAAAATCTAGCAAATGCAGGCTGTGAGAATTATAGCATGGTTTACCATACCTAAAAACTGCATTAATGATTATATACTTGCAAAGATAAAGATATTACTAGAGTTTTTAAGGTAAAAGCCTAGCAAACTGGTTTGGCTATGTGTCCCTAATATGTCAATTAAAGAGACAGAGACAATTCATTCAGTATGGCCACACCGGGAGATGAGGAAATGGAGTTTCTTTAACCCTGACCTCCACCTTCTGGATCCTGACATTAGGTCTAAAAAGAAGGCAAACCAGAAGGTCTGATCAAGCTGTGGTCCCTCCTATCACTGACCCATGGCTGTCTCAGCTCCAGTCTCTCTAAGACAGTTGTTGGAAGAACTGTGTGAACTACCTGGACACAAGCTGCCCTTTGACTGGCCCAGAGCTTCACTCAGTCTTTTCCTCCTACAACATGAGAATCCTGGGGAACCTTTTAATTCTTGGGTGTCAATTATTTCAATAGTCTGATAACATAAGTGACTCTCTGCTGTGGGATATTTGATGGCACTGTGAGACCCGAGACTATGTTAATAAAATCAACCTTGGGATCAGGCCACAGAGCCAGCAACTAATTGACAGGAATTAGCCATAGACTGTATGGAGAAGCCAGAAAGATGGATAGAGAGACCCACAGGAAGGAGTAAAGAGGGACTTGGAGCTTCACAGTCTTTTTTTGGTTTGGGATGGCTAGTGACATGCTCTCTTGCTGGGTCTCCAGCCAAAAAGGAAGGTCAGCTCATTGCTTCTCAGCCTCTCTGAGCTAGCAGGTTTCACCCCAACATCTGACTCCCAAGTCTTTATTGGTAAATAGAAGGATAGAGACTTAATTAAAAACTACATTTGATAGCAGCAACAGAGCAGGTGCTGGCAGGACCAGAAGTCCCACCAGGCTGTGGGGTGCTGACTTGGGGTCATGGGGCATCCACAGACAGTAGTTAAAATATCAATAGATTAACATGCAGTTGCTAAGCCTGTGGAAAAACAACAATTCTCTTCAAAGTATCTTCTTTCCTGCTAGGCTAGTTAGATCGAGGACTTGTTAACTCTCTCTAGCCAACACTTGTTTAGTGATGCCCATGGGGAGCTTTTTGCAAAGGAGTTAGAGGCCACACTTGGGGTTCAATGAGCATGTATAAAACAGACCAGAGTTTATACTAATGGAGGCTGTTCTTACCTCAGGGTCCTCTGAGATGCCCATCAGCTGTGGAGATGGCAGTGGAGACACTCAAGCTATGTGACAGCCATCAGCTGTGGATATGAGAATGCACAAGCTGTTGTCTGAATCCTGTTTGCATTGATCTGTGAGCTCTTCCTTCCTCAGATCATATTGGTCCTGAGATTCAGCTTGAGAAGTGAATCCAGAATCCTTCCCTGGACATATGAAGGTCCCCAGTGGTGCTGCAGAAGCACCATACCTCACCATTCTTTTTTTCTGAAACCAAGAAAAACAACTAAAATAAAATTGCAAAAGAAAATCGACAGACATGAACCTGAACTTGACCAATCAGTGAAGTCTGGCTAGACTTGGTTAAATGATGATCCCAGAAACCCACATAAGAATGGAGCCTAGGAGGCATAGAGCCTGCCTGACCCCTGCATAAAACCCTTGGCCTTCTAGAGCAGTGGGGTCTGAGTAGGGCTACTTTTGAGAAGATGCCAAGCTTAATGAGAAAAGACATGCTACAGCATCCTTGTTAAAGAGGAGCACAAAGAAGTGGGCATTTGACCTTGCATCTGAAAGGCAGTAAGACCCACATTGATGATGCCAGCTGGTGGGGCGACTTCCCTGCTGGGGCTGTGACTTTCCTGACAAGGCCACAGTGCAAAGAGAAATCTGAGGTGGTGGTTGACCCAGCTTACTTTGCTGGCCTCTCTGCCATGTCATCCTTTAAGAAAGGAACAGCAACAATTTACCAATATGGCACAGTCCACATAAAACAAGAAGGGGAATTCTTCCAAAAGAGTTCACACAGAGCATGATGAGAATGTACTGCCAGAAAAGCACACAGAGGGGTGGGATCAAAGACATCCCAGAAAATATGACGCCACACAGATAAAATACAAAGAATAGTTAGTTGGCCCCAGTGAGAGATAATCAAATAGCTGAAAGTGACTGGGCTTTTTTTTTTTTTTTAAGAAAATTATAGGGTTCTGGAAAGAAATAAAAAGTAATTATAGAAGTGAAAATAAACAATGGGTTGAGCGAAAGGTACTCTTAGGAACACAGCAGGGATAAAAAGAATATGTTTGAGGAAAATGAATAAAGAAGAGGAAAGCATTTGAATGTTAGTGAGGAAAGAAGAAAGGAAGCCTGGAGAAATTTTAACTTCTCCCTATTAGAGGAAACAAAACAGACAAAATGGGATCAATAAGACCTACAGCCATAGTTTGATATGAACCCAGAGACTTCATGGCTCGGGGGTATTCAGAAACATTCACCCCAGCTTTGGCTTATGAAAGCTGCTATGCTTCAAGGACAGGGGTAGGGTCTGAGTATAAAAATACCTTCATGTCTGTACCAGGAAAACTGAAGTGTGGCTTCAGAGGTTGTCATAGCAACAGTAACTACTAGAACATAGGTGGGGTGAGGATGTCAAGTCTTCATAATAAATGTGGCTCAAGAACTTTCTACCTAGACAAACTGCTGTTTAACATTTCAAACAATGCAAGAAGATCAGAAGAAGAAAAAAAACTATGTCTTTTCTTAAACAAAAACCAAGATGCCAATCAGGAGATGGAGTAGCTATGGCTACAGTGAGAGAAAGTACTGCATCTGTCCAGTACAGAAATAGGATGGAGCAGGTGGGGGAGCTGTGATTACGGATTAAGTTAAAAATAATGGTGGCGGCGGCGGCGGTGGAGCAACCCAGGCATGGGAGGGGAGAAGGGAAAAGGCTGTGTAAGTAGGAGCTTTTTAGGTAACTTGGTCCCTCAACCTCCTACGTAAACAATAAACCAGCAACCAGGAACATAACGACATAAAGAGCCATGACTGAGTGTACAGCATCGGCAGCTATAGCAAGCCATGACTGACTGGTATGAGATAGGAGACTGAGATCTATATAAGTGTGGTGATTTCTCATTGTACTGAGTCATCAGAGACTACATAGAAAATGTAAAACTTAATAAAAACAGTACATAAAGATACAAGGTCATGAGGAAAGGGTCCCAGAAACACTGTAAGCCTTCAGCACTCCCAGAACAAAAATTCACATGCAATAACAAACCAAAGATGACATAGAAAAATAAATAAATATGCCTTTAATTTGTGTGTATAGCTTAATGAAGGGCAAATGTAACTAAGGAAGATCCACTCTTGACCAGTTCTCATATCAAAAATGTAAACCTACTGAAGGAAAAATGACTCAAAGCTTGAATTGTAATGCACAATCCAAATATATGCTACACAGACAGACAGCCAGAAGTGGAGCAGGATATACAACAGAAAGATCTCCTGACAGCATTAATTTCTTTGGTCTGAAGGTTTATTTCCCTCCAAATCCACATATTTAAATACAACCTTCAAGGTGACAGTATGATAAGGTGGGTTCTTTGATATTAGGTTAGGAGAACTCTGCCCTCATAAATTAGATTAGTGCCCAGATTAAAATGACAGAGGTAGCCCTCTTTGCTTTCTGCCATGTAAGGACACAGAAGAGTCCATCTATGTGACACAGTTCCCCCCCAGATATTGACTCCACTGGCACATTGATCCTGGACTCCCTAGCTTCTGGAACTATGAACAACAAATATCTGTTGTTTGTAAGTTATCTGGTCTAAAGTATTTTGTAATAGCAATCAGAATATTTTGTAATAGCAACCAAGACATTTTTTAAAAAGAATTATGACAAAATTTTCATGAAGATTAAGACAAAAAATATTTTAAAAGGACATTTTATAAAGAAAATGAACATCTGTAAGGAAGCTTTAATTTTTATGAAAATGTATCTCAAATATCAAGGCATTGACATTCATACAGGCAAAGTTACTAGCATATGAAACAAACTAGGCACTCTTTCATTCACTTCTTTTATCCTGTAAGGAAAAAGAATAAGGATAAACCAGGATGAAATGTATCATTTTATAACTTTAAAGACACATATAACCAAAAGAAATGCATACACACATCTGAGTTTTGACTTAATGATATATCCCCAAGATTAAGACTATATCCTCTAGGGCTGAACAGAGTTGACCCTGTCTCTCACTGGCTGTGGCACTAGGGAGAACTGGCCCTGCACCTCACCTGGGCAGCACAGTAGAGCTGTCCCTCTTGGCAGGAGTGCAGGTGAGCTGGCCCTGAAGGCCAGAGAATGAGAGAGCTAGCCCCACTGTCTGTTACGTGGTGCTGAGGGTGAGGTGCCCTTGCCCCTGGCCCCTCACCCCTTGCCACCTGCTGCAGATGGGAGAGGCTGGTCCTGGGGTGGTGAGAGTACAAGAGCTGATCCTGCCCCTCACCAGTTGCAGCTTTCCAGAAAGCAGACCCTACACCTAGCCCAGATAGCACAGTAGGGCTGACCCTATTGGCAGGGGTATTAGGTGAGCTGGCCCCGAGGGCATGAGAGCATTATTGCCCCCATTACTTGCCCCCCTCGCCTCTGCCCCCCGCATATGCTCCTTATAACAATTGGAAGAGGGGGCCCTGCACCTTAGCCGGGCAAAACGGTAGAGCTGGCCCTGGTGATATGAGTGCAAGAGAGCCAGACTAGAGGGCAGGAGAGCAGGAGAACTGGCCCTGCTCCTTGCTGCCTGTTGTATTGGGTGAGTTAGCCTAGGCAGTGCTGGAGAGTTCACCCAAGGAGTGACGATGAGGGAAAGCTGGCAGGCTGATCAACTCAGCTATCACTCAGGTTCAGAACCAGGACTGTGAGTTAGCCCACCCCAACATCCACCTCATCAAAGAATGGCTGGAGCATGTGAAGGGGATGAACCTACAGATCCAAAGCAGCAGGTTCTCCATGACACAGGACAACAGAATATCCAAGAGGAGCCCCAGTGAGAGCCCATTATCAGTACTGTAACAGAAACCAGAGGCCTCGAGCAGACCAATGACTCAGAGCAAGGAACACTTCCAAGTAAAGATGTATGGACTAAAGAATGAACTGTTGTTTTTAGGTTGTAGTTGTTTTGTTGGTTGGGTTTGGTTTTTCTTTTAAATTTTGTTTTGTTTTGGTGGGGTTGCAAGGGCTTCAGGCAGATGTAAGGGGATGGGGGCATAAGTGAGACTGGGATGCATGATGTGAAATCCACAAGGAATTAATAAAAGTTAAAAGAAAAAAGAAACTATACCCTCTGTGGGGCTGTGAGATGGCTTCAGAAATAAGGGCTTACCATGCCAACCTGACAACCTGAGTTTGATCCCTAAAACCCACAGAAAGGTGCACAGAGGGAACTGACCCCACAAAGGTGTCCTTTCACCTCCCTGGCCTTCACACACACACACACACACACACACACACACACACACACACACACACACA